ATACTATAGTAGCAGTAATTTATATTTTAACAATGGAATGACTCCTAGGTTACTTGCATAAGTATGTATCATTTTGATCAAAGTGGGGGGCTCCTGTTGGGGGTGAATAACCCCCACTATTTTTTTTCACTTTTTTAAATTAAATTTAACTTTAAACAAGGGAATGACTCCTATGGAAAATATAGGAGAAACCCAGAAGATGGAGGTCATATAGGCAAAATCAAAATGAGACCTCAATTTGAGCCAGAAATCACCAATCAGTTTGTAGTGCCTTAAAATACATATTTGTTGCGACAATTCAACTGACATAACAATGTTGAAATCTGCATATCAATTCATCCAATCAAGTGTTGCATGACATATCAAAGGGGTCAGATCAAGTTCTTTTGCACCATTCCCTCCACTGAGAATTTTTCTCGTTTGATTTACGTCCAGAAGATGCAGGTCACATCACCAAGATCAAAATGAAACAATATAGGCGTCAAGCTGAGCAAGAAATCACTAATCAGAGGGTAGAGCCTTACAATACATATTTGTTGCGACAATTCAACTGCCATATCAATTTTTAGATCTGCTCATCAGTTCATTCAATCAAGTATTGCATCAAATACGTATGAAAGGGTTTAGAGAAAGCTGGTTTTGAACCTCCACCAATTATTTTTTCGGTTTCATTTAAAATTGGTTTTTTTAAATCTGAACAAGGATTTAACAGCATCTATTCTAAAAAATGTCTGTCATGAAGTAGAAAGCCAGAAGATATAGGTCACATCATTATATGATACTAAAATATATGTGGTTTTCTAAAACCAATTATAACAATGATTTTTGAACCGTTGTACCTTAGAAATGATTAAAGTTAAATTACTGGAATTCTCATAGGTTTTTAGAACACTATTGATAACACTATATTGATCATTAATTAATTATCGCGAAGGATCAGAAGCTCATGAATGATTGAAATAAAGTTCATATATATATATATATATATATATAAAATGTACATTGAAGTCAACACTCAGAGGTGACAGGCTGTTTCATGCGAGGCGCAATCGTCAGGCCGCGAATGTTGGCTATTTTCTCGACTATTCATATATATGGGTCAGTGGTGCATTCTGGTTAATCTATTCTGGCGGCTATTTTTGCGGGAGTGGCTTGTTTGTTTGTTTATTTATTTTGGGGGGGGTTATTTATTTGTTTTTCATTTTCATTTTGTATTATTATTCTTTTCGATTTTTGATGTTTTATTAACGTAGTAAAAAACATGTGGGCTTGCTTAGGTCGCTTATTTAATAGTCTTGGTCTGGGAAGATAATTAAGGCTATATATTCATTCACTGTTTAGATTGCTTACGATAGTCTCGTCTGTTATATTGGCAAGGGACATTTTTTATTTGGATTTACTATTTTTAATTGTTTTTGCTTATTTATGCTTATTTATATTAGTTCTAACGGTTATATTTGCGGGGACTATTTGTTAATTTGTTCATTTGTTTATCTATTTGGATTATTTTTATTTGATTTTATTTATTTACTTATATTTTATTTTGTATATTTTTAGTCTATTTTGTTTTCGATTTTTGAGTAAGTTATTAATGTTTTTATCGTTATATAGTATATAGTAGTTAGCTATATATATATATATATATATATATATATATATATATATATATATATATATATATATTAATAAGCGTATAAATTAAGAAAAATTTAGAGTAAATAGGTATGTTTTCTATCTTGATGTCTAAAATGAGGAATTATCATTATTAACTTATTTACAGGATGTGTGTTGTAGGCTAATTGATAACGATACAAAATGAGAAATACAGAGTTCGAATTCCAATCACATTCATGACATTCACTTACGCACAAATACCCCTTCGGAAAGGTCAGAATCCATCACTTCCACCCAGCTTGTAAACCAGTTTGAAAATCTTGTGCCTAGTCTGTCATGACTCGAAAGAGAAATGATCGTCCACGGCGTGTATCAGGAATGGCACTTAACTAACTGGACATGTGTATTATAGTTCAAATCTTAGGGCCATGTAATCACAACTTTCAAATTAATTTAATATTTTAATAAATTAAATGAAGAGGCCTGTTCAACAACCATCATAAGAACAATAGTCCGCAATTAGATAATTTAAATAATATCTAGCTCAGACTTCTTACATCTATCTATCTATCTATCTATCTATCTATATATATATATATATATAATATATATATATATATATGTCTCAATGTGTTCAGATCTCTGTTTCTCAACTTATATTCTTTCATTCATCTATCTATCTATCTATCTATCTATCTATCTATCTATCTCTCTCTCTCTCTCTCTCTATATATATATATATATATATATATATATATATATATATATATATATATATAGTTGTATATTTAGGCAGCAATCCTTCCTTTATGCATGTTTCATTAAAACCGACAGACAAGGTACTACGGTTGAGCTTTTTATTTAATTTTTCTTGTGTTCTGACAAGAGCTTTCTTTTCTGGACAAAGGGTGTGTAAGAACTGTCCGAATGTTTTGTATTTCCGAGCGCTTTCGGCTATACCTTTAGCCATTATCAAGGATGATTCGATTGTCAGCTTAGTAGAGTGCGTGCGTTCTGTGTATGTTCAGTGTGTGGTACTGACCGTATTCGGAAATTAAAAAACATCACTACCACACACTGAACATACACAGAACTAGAGTCAGAGACACAGAGAGACAGTGAGAGCCGCGTACGACTACCAGTATTGGACACTAACATATAGTAAACTCCGTTTACACTATCTCTGTAACCTGTTGTTAATATATCTTTCTTACATCTAATCCGTATTCTGTGTTTTCCTTCTGTGGTCCCGACTTTGGCCCCACATCAGTGGCGACGAGGATTCTAGAAACGCACTCACGGCGAAACCTAAATACCTTACCAATCCCCCATCTGGATCGACGAAGAATTCGAGAAACGCATTCACGTCAAAAACCGCAATACTTTGTCAGTCCCACAACAGTGGCGACAGAAAGATTCGAGAATTTCGTTCTCACCATATCAATAGCGACAGTACTTGAAAAATACACAGAAACTCCACGCGTTCCCACAGTAGTGTTGAACGAGAAATTAAACTGGTATTACTACATTAACGATTTAAAAGCAACACCCAGCGTTTACATATAAAAAAAAATATATATTCCGATACCAAAAATCATTGACGAACTAGCGATTCGACATCTACGGAATATTAAAGTCTGTCCAAATAACATTACGAGAACGATTTCTTACACACTCACACACAGAGAAAAAAAAACCCAGTTTGTCATAAAACAAACTGACAATACAAGAGCAAAGTACTACCATTGTACTCTAATTTTTTTTTATGTAACTGAGTTGAACTCGTGCATAAAATTATTCTGCCCTCAAATTCACTGAGGTGAGTTTTCTCTTTTGTACCTCTATAAAAAAGAAAAAATACATAAGTGTGGTGAAAATTTATTCAATTACATCAAAATTAACGGAACCACGGGGAAAAAAAGCTAAACACATAATTAGTTTAGTTTAACTAATTGTCTGTCCATATTTTTTTTTCTGTAAAAGAAAAAAAAAGGAACAAAAATCTATCAAGATTTTTTTTGTGTACCTCCTCTTAGTATACGTATTTCAAAGCAACAAAAAAGTCCTGTCATTTTTAAATATGAAAGGTTTTCAAAAAGCAGTTGACCAAATGTTAAAACTAAATTTGGATCAGCAACAAAAATCAGAAGAAAGACAACAATAACTATTTTGGGAATTACATAAACAACAAATGGAATTCCAACAAATTACGCTTCAGAATGCTGAACTACAACAGAAACAGCTTAAAGAATTACTCGTAAATGCATTAAAAGACTCAAACTCTGAAAAAGATACAATATTCTCCCAGAGTACAATCTACAATTCAATAGAAACATTTGAATACGTACCAGAGAACGACAAAACGTTCGAAGCTTTTTACAGGCGCTACGAAGATATTTTCAACGTAGACTGGGAACAATGGTCCAGTAAAAAAAAGATACGTCTACTATTTAGAAAACTGGGAACTACTGAACATAGTATGTTTCTTATATCTAATCCGTGTTCCGTGTTTTCCTTCTGTGGTCCCGACTTTGGCCCCACATCAATAAGGAACTACGATTTTTCTTTGATTTTCCTTATTTTTATCATCATAACTTTCTTTCGTTTGATACATAATTTTTTTTACAGTAAGGTTCATCCTGTAAAAAGCCCGTCGGCCACTGAAGCTAGAGAGTTACGTTAAGTGTTAGTTTATATGAATATGAGAGGAAGATAACCAGTAAATCTAGACTTGAACAGATTAAGATTGGAATGATAGGGGATTAACGTATTTAGGTGGATTACTACCATGTAAGTCGCATGGCGGGTCCTAGCCATGAAGGTTAGACCTGGTAAAACCCAATAATGTGGTTCGTCCGAGCATTTTCCGTGATAGTATCGATAGCGATAGAGCAGTGAGAGACTCGATACATCACGACATTGAGAAATTAGAGGGTCGAAAATATATATATATATATATATATATATATATATATATATATATATATATATATATATATACACATTGAGAGACGGGGTGGGGGATAGAGGGATGGAGAAATAGAAAGTGAAAAGGAGGATACCGTTTATCTGGAATGCTTCGGATAAGCAAGCGGTTGTTTCTTTTGAACAGATTTGCATTACTTATGTTTGATGTTTGATTCTGAGCTTTAACAATATGGAAAGAGTGTGCGAGAGAGGCAAATGTGAGGCACGTTATTCTTGGGCGTTTAAATTGATATAAATAGGGCGAGCGAAAAGGAAAACCAGTTCTTTTATTGATAACACGCCTAAGGTAAAATATCCGTCATGAGAATTACATCAAAAAACATATACATGTCGGCCTATCTATCTAAATATCTATCTATCTAAGCCTATTTGCATTTATCTATATTTATCTATGTCAGCCTATTTACATCTTTCTTTTTTATCTATCTATCTATCTATCTCAGTCTGTTCATATCTGTCTTTCTCAGCTTATTCCATTCGACCCATCTATTTATATCTATTTACCAATCTCAACCTACATCTGACTACTTCTATCTATTCAAGCCTATTTACATCTATCTTTCTATCTATCTATCTATCTATCTATCTATCTATCTATCTATCTATCTATCTCATCCTGTTCATATCTATCTATCTACCTATTTCATATCTATCTCATCTATCTGTTCTATATCTATCTGTCTGCATTTTGCCCTTTATTTCATTCTTTCGGCTTTATCTTTCTTTCATTATTTATTTCTTTTATCTATCTATCTATCTATCTATCTATCTGCATATTTCTCCCTCAGGATATATCTATCTTTCTTTCTTTCTTTTATCTATCTTTCTGTTTTATCATTCAGCCTGATTTATTTCGTTTTATCTATCTATCTATCTATCTATCTATCTATCTATCTGCATTTCTTTCTTTCATTCAGGATATATCTTTCTTTACATTATTTATTTCGTTTTATCTATCTATCTATCTCAGCCTGTTCATATCTATCTATCTATCTGTCTGTATTTCTCTATCTCAGGATCTATCTATCCTATCTTTCTTTTTTATCTACCTATCTATCTATCTGTTCATATCTATCTCATCTGTTCATATTTATCTATTCTTATATTATATATCTGCATTTTGCCCTTTCTTTCTTTCTTTCGGCTTTATTTTCTTTCGTTTTTTCTTTCGTTTTATCTATCTATCTATCTATCTATCTATGACAATCCGTTAATATTTCTCTTTCTCAGGATCTATCTATCTTTCTTTCTTCCTTTTTATATATCTATCTATCTATCTATCTATCTAACTTAGTCTGTTCATATCCGTATTTCTCAGCTTATTCCCATCGATCCATCTATTTATATCTATTTATCAATGTCAACCTACATCTTACTGCCAATCTATCTATTCAAGCCTATTTACATCTATCCATTATTATTTATGTATAATTATATATTTCAGTCTATTTACATCTATCTATCTATCTATCTATCTATCTATCTATCTATCTATTTATCTATCTATCTATCTATCTATCTATCTATCTATCTATCTATCTAAGGCTACGTGCATCTATCTATCTATCTATCTATCTATCTATCTATCTATCTATCTATCTATCTAAGCCCATTCATATCTATCTATATTTATCTATTTCAATCTATTTACATCTATCTATCTATCTATCTATGACAATCTTTTAATATTTCTCTTTCTCAGCATCTATCTATCTATCTATCTATCTATCTCTCTATCTATCTATCTCTTTCATTCTGTTTAAATCTATCTAAGCCTTTTTACATCTATCTATCTATCTATCTATCTATCTATCTATCTATCTATCTATCTATCTAAGCCCATTATTATTTATGTATAATTATATATTTCCCTATTTTCTATTCTTTATCTATCTATCTATCTATCTATCTATTCTATCTATCTATCTATCTATCTATCTATTATCTATCTATCTATCTATCTATATCTATTATCTATCTATATCTATTTATCTATTTATCTATCTATCTATCTATCTATCTATGACAATCTTTTAATATTTCTCTTTCTCAGCATCTATCTATCTATCTCTTTCATTCTGTTTAAATCTATCTAAGCCTTTTTACATCTATCTTTCTATTGATCGATCTATCTATGTATCTCAATCCGTTTTCTATCTATCAATTTATCTCATTCTCTTCTCCTCATCATATGCTATCAATCCCAGCTTATTGATTATTCTTTTTATTGCGACTTGCTTCCACCCTCCCTGATCGTTTCCCTCGAATGACAACCCCATTCAGACTTCATCAGTCTGTAGGAATCCCATGTTCGTTTTCCTTATTCTTCATCTTTCTTTTTCCATCTATTCCTTTTCTTATTTATGTTATAATTATAGAATTTCAGTCTTTTTGCTTTGTCTATTTGTTTATCATTATCTTTCGATCTATCTATTTATGAATCTCCCAAATTCAGATCTATCTAAATCGATACGTGCATCGATCTATCTATCTATCTTTCTATCTATCAGAAAAAAATCCATCTATCTATCTATTTCAGGAAGGGCACCCATTCATATCTATCTATATTTATCTATTTCAATCTATTTACACTTCTATCTATCTATCTATCGGGAATGACAATGATTTTGTGAATGAGAGATTTCTCTTTGCTGTCAAAATGCAAAAGGTAGAAAAATATCTGCGACAGATCTATGGGCATGTGCAGAAGAAAACAAAAAAGAGACAGATATCTATCTATCTATGAACACCAGAGATAGATATGAATATCTCTAAATTCATTCTGAAAAAAGATTTAAAATGAATATAGATAAGAACATTTTTGAGACATCTATCTAATCATAGATAGATAGATAGATAGATGAATATCTATAGATAATAGATAGATAGATATCTATGAATCTATCTAGATCTAAGCCCATTATGAAAAGATAGATAGATTATAATATAATTTATATATACATTTAGATAATGTCTATTAGACAGATATCTAGATAGATATAGATAGATCTATAGATAGATAGATATGATATCATTGAAAAAAGATAGATAGATAAATATAGATATCTGAAATCTATCATTATAGATATGAGACACACATAGATAGATAGATAGATGATAGATAGATAGATAGATGAATAGATAGATAGATATCTATCTATCTATGAATATTATCTATCTAGATAGATATCATCTATCTATCTGAATAATGAACCCATTAGATAGATAGATATAGATAGATATAGATAGATAGATATATTTATCTGAATTTGAACAATCTATTAGATATGATAAGAACATTGAAATAGATATCATTGATCTATGAACACACATAGATAGATAGATAGATAGATAGATGAATATGAACATCTTGATATGAACATTGAAAAGATAGATAGATAAATAATAGATATAGAACATAAAAAAAGAAATAGATAAATAGAGAATCTATCTATCTAGATCATTGATAGATACACATAGATAGAAATAGATAGATAGATGATAGATCTGATTGAAAAGAGATAGATAGATTAATTAGATGATAAATTAAATAAGAACATTGAAATAGATAGACATTGATAGATAATGAACACACATTAGAAATAGATAGATAGATTTACATGAAAAGATAGATAGATAGATCTGAACATTGAAAAGATAGATAGATAAATTGATAGATAAGAACATTGAAATAGATAGAGAGATACATTGATAGATAGTGAACACACATAGATAGATAGATAGATTATAGATAGATAGATAGATATAGATATGAACATTGAAAAGATAGATAGATATGAACATTGAAAAAGTTAGATAGATAAATAGATAGATAGATAAGAACATTGAAATAGATATGCATTATAGATAATCCCATAGATAGATAGATAGATGATAGATAGATAGATAGATAGATGGATAGATAGATGATATGAACATTGAAAAAAAAGATAGATAGATAGATATGAACCCAAGATGATAGATAAATAGGATAGATAGATAAGAACATTGAAATAGATCAGTACATTGATGATAATGAACACATAGATAGATAGATAGATAGATAGATAGATAGATAGATATGGACATTGAAAAGATAGATAGATGAATATGAACATTGAAAAGTTAGATAGATAAATAGATAGATGAATAAGAACATTGAAATAGATAGAGAGAAGATACATTGATAGATAATGAACACACATAGATAGATAGATAGATAGATAGATAGATAAATAGATAGATAGATAGATATGAACATTGAAAAAGATAGATAGATGATGAAGATAAATGAAAAAGAAATAGATAGATAGATTAAGAACATTGAAATAGATGAGAGATAGATTGATAGATAATCATAGATGATAGATAGATAGATGATAGATAGATGAATGTGAACATTGAAAAAGATAGATAGATGAATATGAACATTGAAAAGATAGATAGATAAATAGATAGAAAATAAGAACATTGAAATAGATGAGAGAGATACATTGATAGATAATGAACACACATAGATAGATAGATAGATAGATAGATAGATAGATAGAGATAGATAGATATGAACATTGAAAAGATAGATAGATAGATATAAACATTGAAAAGATAGATAGATAAATAGATAGATAGATAAGAACATTGAAATAGATAGAGAGAGAGATACATTGATAGATAATGAACACACATAGATAGATAGATAGATAGATAGATAGATAGATAGATAGATAGATAGATATGAACATTGAAAAAGATAGATAGATAGATATGAACATTGAAAAAGATAGATAGATAAATAGATAGATAGATAAGAACATTGAAATAGATAGAGAGAGAGATACATTGATAGATAATGAACACACATAGATAGAGATAGATAGATAGATAGATAGATAGATAGATAGATAATGATATGAACATTGAAAAGATAGATAAATAGATAGATAATATGAACATTGAAAAAGATAGATAGATAAATAGATAGATAGATAAGAACATTGAAATAGATAGAGAGAGATACATTGATAGATAATGAACACACATAGATAGATAGATAGATAGATAGATAGATAGATAGATAGATAGATAGATAGATAGATATGAACATTGAAAAAGATAGATAGATAGATAAGAACATTGAAAAGATAGATAGATAAATAGATAGATGATAAGAACATTGAAATAGATAGAGAGAGATACATTGATAGATAATGAACATGATAGATAGATAGATAGATAGATAGATAGATAGATAGATAGATAGATAGATAGATATGAACATTGAAAAAGATAGATAGATAGATATGAACATTGAAAAAGATAGATAGATAAATAGATAGATAGATAAGAACATTGAAATAGATAGAGAGAGAGATACATTGATAGATAATGAACACACATAGATAGATAGATAGATAGATAGATAGATAGATATGAACATTGAAAAAGATAGATAGATAGATATGAACATTGAAAAAGATAGATAGATAAATAGATAGATAGATAAGAACATTGAAATAGATAGAGAGAGATACATTGATAGATAATGAACACATAGATAGATAGATAGATAGATAGATAGATATGAACATTGAAAGATAGATAGATGATATGAACATTGAAAAAGATAGATAGATAAATAGATAGATAGATAAGAACATTGAAATAGATAGAGAGAGAGATACATTGATAGATAATGAACACACATAGATAGATAGATAGATAGATAGATAGATAGATAGATAGATAGATAGATAGATAGATAGATATGAACATTGAAAAAGATAGATAGATAGATATGAACATTGAAAAAGATAGATAGATAAATAGATAGATAGATAAGAACATTGAAATAGATGAAGAGAGATGCATTGATAGATAGATAGATAGATAATAGATAGATAGATAGATAGATAGATATGATTGAAAAAGATAGATAGATATGATAGAACATTGAAAAATGATAGATAAATAGATAGATAGATAAGAACATTGAAATAGATAGAGAGATGCATTGATAGATAATGAACACATAGATAGATAGATAGATAGATAGATAGATAGATAGATAGATAATATGAACATTGAAAAAAGATAGATAGATAGATATAAACATTGAAAAGATAGATAGATAAATAGAGATAGATGAGAACATTGAAATAGATGATAGATAATGAACACACATAGATAGATAGATAGATAGATAGATAGATGAACATTAGAAAAGATAGATAGATAGATATGAACATTGAAAAGATAGATAGATAGATATAAGAACATTGAAATTGAAAAGATAGATAGATAAATAGATAGATAGATAAGAACATTGAAAAATAGATAAATATATAGATAGAGAGAGATACATTGATAGATAATAAGAACATTGAAATGAATAGATAGATAGATAGATAGATAGATAGATGAACATGAACAGATAGATAGATAGAGATAGATAGATAGATAGATAGATATATGAACATTGATAGATAGATAGATATGAACAAAAAGATAGATAGATAAATAGATAGATAGATAAGAACAGAGATAGATATAGAGAGATACATTGAAGATAATGAACACACATGAAATAGATAGATAGATAGATAGATAGATAGATAGATAGATAGATGAACATATGAACATTGAAAAAGATAGAGAGATGATATGAACATTGAAAAGATAGATAGATAAATAGATAGATAGATAAGAACATTGAAATAGATAGAGAGAGATACATTGAAATAATGAACACACATAGATAGATAGATAGATAGATAGATAGATAGATAGATAGATAGATAGATAGATAGATATGAACATTGAAAAGATAGATAGATAGATATGAACATTGAAAAGATAGATAGATAAATAGATAGATAGATAAGAACATTGAAATAGATAGAGAGAGATACATTGATGATAATGAACACACATAGATAGATAGATAGATAGATAGATAGATAGATAGATAGATAGATGGATATAGAATAGATATGAACATTGAAATAGATGATGTTGATAGATTTGAGCAGATTGAGATAAATAGACACGCACTGTATAAGATAGAAACTAAAAGGTAGCTATTATACTTTATCTCTTTGTCTTCAAATACACACGAATATATGCGTTTGTGTGTTTGCTTGCGCGTGTGTGTTTATATATATATATATATATATATATATATATATATATATATATATATATATATATATTTATATGGAGAATAGAAATCAAACGTGGATCAAACAAATATATTGATATCAACACATCAGAGAAACTTATTTCAGGATCCAAACAGTAAAAATAGTTCCACCACAATATGATTTATCCATGGTCATGGCTTTATGATATCTTAAGTGTATTGCTAAAATCTATCTATCTATCTATCTATCTATCTATCTATCTATCTAATCTATCTATACTTAGTCTGTTCTGTTACTATCTGTCTTCGTCTGTTCTGTTCATCACCTATCTGTCTTCAGTTGTGTTGACATTATATCTATGAAGGTTTGTTCATACTCATAACGTATTGACCATCTTTTATCTTAATAGTATTTAATCTTATAAATATAAGAAATTTACTCCTTCGGAAGGCTAGACTTTTGTATTATGACTTTACATGTTTTTTTTCTTACACGTATTGGATTTTTTCTTTGGACTCTGAACTTGGATTCTAGACTTTTGTCTTCGGCTGACGTACATGTTTTCTGTTCTTTTTTTTTTATCTATTTTTCCCTTGGTTATCTATCTATTTATCTATCAATCTACCCATCTTTCGGGTTTATGTCTGTTCATATCTATCTATCTATCTATCTATCGTATCTCAGTCTATCTATCTATCTATCTATCTATATATCATATCTATCTATCTATCTATCTATCTGTCTATCTATCTATCTAATATTTGTTCTTAATTCTACCGTTCTCCAGTCTGTGCAATATCTATCTGTCTATCTCAAATATTTCAATATCTTCCTTACTCTTTCTCTCTCTCGATATATATATATATATATATGTGTGTGTGAAAATATATAGAAAATATATATATATATATATATATATATATATCGCAAACTTTTCACTATATATTTATCTATCAATCTGTCTGTTCATATGTATATGTCTGTCTATCTAAGCTTATTTACATCTATCTATATTTCTAAGTGTATTTACATCTATCTTGCTTAACTTACATATAACTTATCATTCTATCTACCCTTTTTATCATTTAACTAGCTATATTTTGTCTAATCTTATTTACACCTATTTATCTTAGATTATTTGCATCTATCTTTCTAAGTTTATATACTTCTATCTATCTATCTATCTATCTATCTATCTATCTATCTATCTAAGACAACAAATTTAAGGAATTTCAAATGATTCCAATGATTTCAGCGTCTCAATACAACCTAATTCTTACGCACGATGAAGAGGAAACATTGCTAATTTTCTCAAAAAAGTTTAAAATATGTTGTATAAAAATGGAAATCGAAATTGCTTCAGTAGAAAAGTTTTGTATGACGAACTGGCCTTCTCTCACGCAACGTGCTAATGTAAAGATCATGTTGCCAATTTCCTTATAATAAAACTCTTCGTATTCTTTGATCGAGAAGCCAGTACATTTTTCAGGTGAAATTTATAAAATCTTTCGTCGGGAAAATTGGTTTCTTAAACCCAGTAACTTTTATCGCTCCTTCTAATATTGATAGTGTGCGGGGAGGGGGGCTTCCTTTCTAGATTTTGTTTGAAGTTGTGTGAAATATGCAATATTTTTTTATGTGTCTTCTCTTCGAGTTAATTTGCATCTTATTCTTCAAACACATTAATATGTAGCAATTCGTTGGGAA